TTTTCCCAGCCTGTTATTTTTAGGCAGCTCGGGGAGTGCAGTGCACTGCCACACTGCCAGCACAAAGAGGAAGAGCAAGAATGTTTTTCTCAACAGATTTTAACTCCTTTCTAATGATTAGCACCAAAGCTCTGAAATAATTAAATGAGTCCACAACTAGAGAAACAAGCAACAGAAAGCATGATTCATTGCCCCAAAAAACACCTCTGTTGCTGTTCACACCCTAGTTTTGGGTTGGTTTTTTTTTTTTTTTTAAACAGAAAGTTGTCCCTGACCAAGCTGGAGGAAACAGCAGCCAGAAGGGTCAGGAGCACGTTTCCCTCGAGCTGAGGCAGAAAAGTCCCTGTGCAGAAGGATCTACAAAATAGAGCAAACGCTCTGGAAGCTCAGCTGAAGAGCTCAGGACCCACAGGGTGTGTGCTGAGGGGAGCAGGATGACAGGAGCAGAGCAGGAGCCTCCAAGCCCCTCACCAGCTACGTGTGGGTAGGAGGCAGCAGTGGTGCAGATGGCAAAATGCTCACCCTGGCTGGGAAGGCCTCCAGCTTGGAGCCTGCTGGTTGAGGAGGATATGAAAGACAGTGAAATGAATCACCCAAGAAAGATCATCCCTCACTATGCAAAAGTGGATGGTAAATAGGGAAAAAAAAATGTTTGCAACTTGTTACACGACACCTACAAGTTGGTTTAATTAGTTCTTCTACAAGTGATGAAAATAAAGATCCAGCTTCAGGAAGGAAAAAAAATGCAAGTTACTTCCTAGGCAAGGTGAAAAACACTTCAGCAAGACCAGCTGCTGAAACAGCTAAAAGATATCCTGTTCTCATCCTTCCCAAGACCCAAACCCAACGGTTCTGCAAAGAGATGAGAAACTGAGAGGGGTGTAGACAAACCACCATATCTCACCAGCTTCAGGAGATGAGAGCAGCCTATTTGCCTTCAGGAGGGAACCAAACAGTCATCAGAGAAGCCAAGGCTGAACCGAAGCAGGACATGAAGCTGTAGGATGCTTTAGCATCACATCCCAGGATTTCTAATCCAGCTTTATTCCCTCAGGAATTCCCTCACAGGTAGATGCAGTTTGCCTGAAAGCCCAGCGTCAGACACAAGAGTCACTGAACTATAAGTGGCAGCAAGTTTGCTCCAAAGCATTTAAGAACCAACAATCCTATTCTGAAGCAACATTATGACCTAACTGACTCCCTTTAATGCCCCCAGCCACCCTGGCTGCAGCAGACCCTGATCTGCCCTGCGGCCACACTCCTGACAGCTCATTTCCCACCTGCCCTCTGAGAGCAGGGGCTCTCTAAGGGTGCCCACCCTGCAGGACAAGGGAGCACGAGAAGGACTCCACATGCAACCTTAATGCAGTTATGGAGTACATTCCACACATAAATTATGGATATTGGGATACCAGAATCTCAGAATGGTTGGGGTTGGAAGGAACTTTAAAGCTCATCTCATTCCACCCCCCTGCCATGGGCAAGGACACTGTCCACTAGACCACCTCGCTCCAAGCCCTCTCCAACCTGGCCTTGGACACTTCCAAAACCATCTCAAAACGTCTCTTTTTCTAAAGAAACTGATAATCTGGTGTTGTAGCAAACAGGATGTGGTAAGAAGAAAACCAGCTAAGGTGGTTACGCACTCGGCTTCGAGACACGCTGTACTTCCCCAAGAGGCTTCTGCTGGTGGAGGAAGCAGCTTCTGCAGGAACAGCCGGCTGTGCTGGGCTGGCAGTGCTGCCAGAGCTCTCGTCTGGGTGCTCCAACGAGCTTCATGTCCTCTGACTCATCGGGCCATTCTTAGAGAGTTCAAGATCATTCTGGAGCATCGCTCCAGCAAACAGCAGTGCCAGCGTCAAGAGATGAGGGCAGCTTATTTGCCTTCATGAGGGAAAAGATGTAAATAGAGAACAGATGTTTGTTTATGCAAATATGATTAAGCCTTCAGGCCATTGTCCCCCCTGATGAGTTTCCTGCTCTTAATCTGATCCTAAAGGTTTTGGTTTCCAAGCCCAAGATGCCTGTGTAGTTGCACACCTGAAGGAAGTGGCAGGGAGGAAATTTAGGCCAAGCTTTGACAGTGGGACCTGGAAAGCATTGACTCTAAAAGGATTTTAGGGCTCATTAAAGATAAACACTTGCAGATGATAAGACCAGAACCATAATTAGACACATCCATAGGGAAACATCCACAGGAACACTCTGCATGACATCAGAGTCCTTGTATCAGACAGCTGATCAAAGCCTGGGTTTACATTTGAAAGGATACTGAAAACTAAAGAAAAAACAGTGACCTGGAGCTGTGAGGAAGAATTTATGTCTGGGGGAAAAAAAAAGCTTAACAGTCCTCATCTACAGCACTTGCCAAGCTAAAACCAAGTAGCACGACGCAGTTTTATAGTCAGTATGAGAGGATACAGCAGTGCATACTGGATGGCTCCTCAGCTGAGGAAATAACGGCCCCGAGGAGCTGGCAGGAAGGGATGAACCAGCAGAATCACAGCCCAGAGATTCACTGCACTCGGGTTCATTTAGACTCCACCCCACACCTGCACGCCCAGGACCTGCCCTACCTGTGGTCTGGCCACATCCCCGCCGTACAAACAGACAACAAGCAGAACAAAAAAGTGATTAGACTTTTAATTACCTCCCCATATTTCTTTTCACCAGCCTTTTGCATAATGCTTGCCTAAAACTGCAGGTACTTTACCACAAGCAATTATGCTAATGTCTGGAAACAGAGCTAATTGAATGGCAAAGAACACACTAGAAAATGCAATAAAATTTAAATGAACAACCACAGTAAGGAAATAGAATATTTTTCAGTGCAATGCCAAGTCTGCTGTTAAAAACAGTCGTGCTTAGCTTTAATCTTTTTTTTAATTCCATTCTAAATCCTACTTCAGTTTCAGAAATAACTGAAACTCCAGCAAAGCGGTAACAGAACTGCTCCTTCTTTCCAGGTTATCCAGGACAAGTCCTGCTCTGACAGTACCAGGGGAGAGGAGGAGAAAACCCCTCCTCTCTGCACAGCTCTAGCTCTGCAGCTCAACACCTGGGCAAGAAACTAATATGTTAATGAAACTCCAGGCTCTAAAATTCCAGGTTCAATGACTACTACAAACATGAGGGAAAGAAAGGAAAGATCTAGTCCTCCCAAACTTCCAGCTACCTAATTATAATTGCTGTAACTTATCAAAATAACTGCAACAGTCCTGTTTTTCAGAACCAAATGGTAATGAAAAGCATTCAATTACATAAATATAAATATCTATTACATAGAAGTTGGCCTGTTGGACTTCTTTTTTTTTTTAGAGAGAAAAAAAAAAGGACTTCTTCATTTCACTGTCCCCAAACATGCTCAGTTGAAGCCAGGCTGTGTTTGGTTGCTTAAAATTCCGCTTATTTTGCAAGTGCCATGCTACAGCAAAATATTAATGATTCAGCACAGGCATCTGAACTGAAGCACACACTGAGGTGTCAGTGCAAGCAAATGTGCATTTATGTGGTAAAATTTTTGGCCACAATACAAAGTCATAGTTTCATGCACACATAACAGACCACACATCAGCCCAAAGATGCCCCCGTGTCACCACCTTTCCTAGGAAACCAGGTACAGCAGCACTGTGTTCACTGCAGTCTCAGTGCATTTCAGACAGGAATAAAACCATTGACCTCCTTGAGTCTTCCCAGCCTAATCCTCATTTTGCAAGACAGGAGCAGCTGTGCTGTCCCAGCCAACCCACTCCGCAGATCTGCTGGACAAAGATTTCACAAGCCCCTCACGAGATCCATTCCCTGCTTTACTACCCACCCTGCTACTAAAACAGGTTTTTTTGTATCCAGATTTTTTTTACTTGAGACATTAAGCCTCTGGAAAATGGACTAACCTCATCATTTCTGCAACAGCTTCTCTGGATTTGAATAATGTTCAACCTCACTTCTCCCTTTTGCCACCCACATCACACCCTATTTCAATACTTCCCTGTAGGTCACATTTAACAGACTGCTCAGCAAAGTCTGCTCATTCCCACTGCTCTTTCCTGGATTCTCCCCAGCAGGTCCATGTATATTTTGTAATCCAGTGCCAGAATGGACAGAACATTCTGCCAGAAGAGGATTATTTCACATGCCTCACTGGCTACAACCCTGATTTTATATTTAGTTGTGTGATACAGCTGAGCCAACACAACCCAGGGCTCGTGTCACAGCCAAGTCACTGAAACACGTCCACCCACCCCAAGGTTCTGCACCCTGTGTTTGTGTGATTGCTCCAGCACAGCTGGGGAGGGCACTGCTGGATCTGACTGTGGAGCACTGCAATTTTCCCCTTCTGTGGTTTACGGAGTGTTTGTAACTCTGCCCTTGTCCTCGGTGTGGTCACAGCACATCAGCAAGACACAGAGGTTCTTGAGCCCTGCACTCACAGTTAACTAAAACACTGATCTCTGACGTTCCTGTGCGAACTCCCTGGATCCAGCCTTCCATGGAATACTGATTAACTGCTCCGCAAGTCCACTATCCCAAAGTTTCACCCCCAGCACAAAGTGGTTTCACCCAGGCCACATCTCCCCTTGTTGTGAGCAAGAACATGACGTCAGAGGGTCAAGACAATACATCTGGGATCTTTCCTACTCCTGCTCCCTTATGAACAGACTCATTACCTCTGTGGAGGAAAAAAAGTTTAACTGATGTGACACATTATATTGTTGACAAGCCCATACCAAGTAATATAATTTTCTCTTTGATGTTTCCAAATAATTTAATTATTTTCCCTGTAGTTTTCCAGAACCTGAAGTTGACAGATTGCCTTGCTTCGTCTTCTTCCCTTTCACAACACTGTGTTTTATTGAAGACCTTTGTTTTACTAAGTCCTGTTCCATGGTTCTTCAGACCATCTACAGTACTGATTTCTCAGCAGTCATCACAGAGAAATGTAAAAACCAAACCAATCTTTAAAATATTCACAAGTAACATTTGATTGCAATAGGACTTACCAATTTTCTGATGAAAGATCTTGTCAAAGGTTAATTCACCCCTTTCCTCGAGGTATTTCTGCATAACACTGCGGATACTGAAGGAAAAAAAAGAAGAAAAGGAAAAAAAAGAAGAGTTACTTGAAATTGCTTTTTTTAAACCAGACCTTTACCATACTTTGAAGAAAAGGATCAATGAAATGAAACATCCACGTAAAAGACTGGACAAGCTGGATGAATGAGCTGAGGGCAATGAGGTTCAACAAGGTGAAGTGCTGGGTTCTGCCCTTGGGTCACAACAACCCCACTCAACACTCCAGGCTGGGGACAGAGAGGCTGGAGAGCTGCTCATCAGAAAAGGACTCGAGGATGTGCCCAGGTGGGCAAAAGGCCAGTGGCACCTGGCCTGTACCATCCATGGTGTGGCAGCAGGACCAGGGCAGTGCCTGTCCCTGTGCTGGCACTGCTGAGGCACCTCCAGTGCTGGGGACAGTTCTGGGCCCTTCAGGACAAGAAACACATTGAGGGGCTGGAGTGTGTCCAGGGAAGGGAACGGAGCTGGGGAAGGGTCTGGAGCACCAGGAGAGACTGAGGGAGCTGGGGGGGCTCAGCCTGGAAAAAAGGAGGTTCAGGGGGGACCTTCTGGCTCTCTCCAACTCCCTGACAGGAGGGGGGAGCCAGGTGGGGGTCAGGCTCTGCTCCCAGGGAACAAGGGACAGGATGAGATAAAACAGCCTCAAGCTGTGCCAGAGGAGATTCAGGTTGGATATCAGGGAAAATTCCTTCCTCTAAAGGGCTCTCCAGCCTTGGTACAGGCTGCCCAGGACAGGGACCATGTCAGGTCTGGGCCTCGGGATGATCTCTGGGGTCACAGCACTTCCCAGGGGGCATCCTGGTCACCACTTTGATTCTTTATTCCTGCATCAGGTTTTAGCTCCCGTAAAACAAACTCACAAGTCATTCCGAGCTGCCTCAGGCTTTAACACTGGAGCTGCCAGGGATCAGCAGAAAATGAGCCAACAGCAGCTCCATTAGGCACCTCACTTGGCTGCAGTGCACTTAACATCTACTTTGCCTAATTTATAATGTCACAATCTCTCATTTAAACCACATTAACAAAGATTTCCTTTATTTGTCAAGTAACCTCAATATTCATTGTAATATAATGCCTATAAAAATTTCATATGGGCAACAATACAAGTACATAAATTTTAAAATCAATGCAGGCTGGCCGTGCTGGGCCTTGATAAAACAACTCTATTGTCACAGTATCAAGTCAAAATTCCACTGGACTTTCTCTGTTTCCAATTTTAAAACTGATATTTTCATAGATACCATGTATTATTATAAAAATAGCCTTGTACAAAATACTGATGCTCTAAACCATTAAATATCACTCCTATTTCTGTAGTAGCAAGACTGAGCACCTAATCCTTGTAAAATGCAGACTCTGAACTATTTCATGTGGGATAAAAATGAACAGGTCGGTTCTTGCAGACAAATTTTAACATTTTCAGAAGAACAACTGAATTTCTGTGGTTATTTCTCATCCATTTCTTTTCTAAGGCCTCTTTAACAAATAATTGTGCAGTCATGGTGAGCAGCAGAGCCCTGCTGATCTCAGAGACCATCCCCTCTCTTGTGCTCACACAGACCCCATCACCTGAGCCTCTGAGAAACCTCACAATTATTAACAAATATCTCATCCATTGAGGGAGGAAAGTATCCACACTCCTTCTCAAATGAGGGCCTGAGGCACGAGGAATTACTTGAACAGAAAAAAGTCTATAATAAAAGCCAAGAACTTTGCTGGAAGGCCCTAAACCCCCATCCAGGAAACTATCCTATTAATAGTTTTACTGTATATCTCCAAGGCCCACATGGAACACAGATCTATGAACACTGTGATCCAAAGCGAGAACTCTGGAGGCCAACCACCACATCAAGTTAGACAAGAACTGGGAGGGCTAAACACTGTTAATCAGGTTTGAGATGATAAATTATTCAGTGACGAACTTGCTGTTTATTTGTTCTTTAAGAACTGGGTCTGCTCTCTGTGTATTTTAACAACCTAAACAAAATACTGATTTCAAACGAAGAGGGAGCAGTAAACAGAGATCACAGAATCCCAGGCTGATTCGGGTTGGAAGGGACCTTAAAGTTCATCTCATTCCACCTGCTGCTGGGGTAAGGACACCTTCCACTAGAACAGGTTGCTCCAAGCCCCATCCAACCCAGCCTTGAACACTTCCAGGGATGGGGCAGTCACAGCTTCTCTGAGCAATTGTGCCAGGGCCTCTCCACCCACAAAGGCAGGAATTTTTTCCTAATATCTAATCTAAGTCTTTTTCCAACCATAGCTTCCCATTGTCCTGCTTACAGAAGGACCCTCTCGTAGATAAACAAGCTTGGTCTGAGTCACCAAAGCCCCCGAGGTTCCCCCTCCTCAGCCTCCTGGCTGCCCCGAGCCATCAGCACTGCCATTACAACCAGCACTGTCCTGTTCCCACTGACCACCAGACCATTAGTAACAGAATAAGCCTTTTTCATAATAATGACATCAAGAAAGCTTTCCTCTGCTCCAACAAGTGCACTGCAAGAAATTACATCAACAGATCTTAGTCTAGACAATGGGAGAAGATAATGAAAATTTAACGTGTGACTGAAGTGTCCAGGAAAACACTGATTGTGTAACGAGCAAATCTCTCCAGCGCCTCTCCTCCTCTCCCGACATCTCACACTTCTGGTCTGATGGATAACGTGTCAAAGGAACAAAATGTTTTTTGCAGCTACAGAATCTGAACAAATCTGTAAAATGATCACAGGCTACAGGAGTCCACACTGCATTCCAGCTCCTCAACAACACTCTCATCCCTTTAAAATCATTTCTCCTTATCCATATGAATAAATAGGAATAAATTACATGGAGTGGATTATGACTACCCAGAATAATCGCCTCCTAATTCTCACATGGAAGTTAAAAGGTAAAAATCCCATTGAGTTCAAAGAAACGAAGCAGAGTCCGTGTATCCTTCACAAGGATGGAATATTTTAAAATGGACCTTAGCACATTCCACAGACAGGAAGATTCCCTCTCTGCTTTTGTCTATCGACTCATTAGTTGCCCTACACGTAAACAATCTGGGACTAAAAGCTGCATTTCACAGAAACGCAGCCATTTCTGAAAAGCCTTCCCCGGCCAGAGATGCCGTCAGCGCAAACCATCCACTAATGCGAGAAGTGGCCGCTTTCACACGAGTTCATCTCGGTTCACAGCATGATCTACCTTAATAGCAGCACTCAAAATGGGCAGAAACAAAAGTTGGCTAAAAATGAAATCCAGGGAGACTTCAAAAACAAAAGTATATCCGACTGGACTGCAGCAAAACCTCTCGAAAAAATACGAAATGGCAAAAAATTCAGACGTGCTCCGTTTGCGGTCCACAGGCCCCGAGTCAACTGAAATACTAGGAAAAGCATATTTAGGGGAAATCAAAAATCAGGCTTAAAATGTTGTTAGAAATGCAACTTGGACTCTGGGTACCTCTTCCTGGGTACCTTTTCTTTCATGGAAGGGGTGGTCAGGCATTGGAAGGGGCTGCCCAGGGAGGTGGTGGAGTCCCCATCCCTGGAGGTGTTCAAGGACGACTGGACGTGGCACTCAGTGCTCTGGGCTGGGGGACAACGTGGGGATCAGCAAAGGTTGGACTTGATGATCTTGGAGGTCTTTTCCAACCTCAGTGATTCTGTCATTCCATGACTTGCTGATTTAACTGGGCCCACATTAAGCAGGTACCTGGAGCACAGCAAAGCCCCAGGGCCAGATGCCCAGCAGTGCCCACCCCACAGCTGGTCAGAGACAACTCACATGGCGGTGACACAGTAAAGAGGTTTTGGGAGAGGGGTTTTTTTTGCAAATGAGACAAGTATCTTGATCCTTAGCAATGCCAGCAGTCCCCACGTAGCACTGGTGCCAGGAGTGTGGGCAGCTGAGTGCTCCTGCATCTCTTACAGCCCCTGGGTGAAGCTGCCCTCAGAGACTGAGCTGAACAAACACCCCAGGGCTTGTGGAGCAGGTCAGAGCACGCTGCCTGCCCAGAGCAGGCAGGAGGATGACTATCTGCATCACCATCAAACCATGAACTCTGCAAGCAGCACAGGTCACTCCAACTGGTCAGCTCCTCTGCCTCCCCAGAAAAGGGATTTATGTCAAGTACGAGTTGAAAAGTCTGTTAAAAGGAGCTTCAGGCTCCATCTTGAAGCTCTAGATACTCCAGCCAGCATCCTGGTCTTTCAGGCTTGATCAAAGAACGCCGCTGAAAAGCAACCTTCAAGGTTAAAATCCATTCTGTAATTAAACAGCTCTTGCTGCCTGTGACAGCCTGGCAGGGCACAGGCAGCAGCCGCGGTGCCAAGGTCGGTACAGGCGGAAAATGTCTCCTCCAAGACACGTCTGAAAAACTAAGAAGAAAACACATTATGTTCTTTCCAACACAGAAAAGGACACGTGCACAGCAAGAGCATCCGCAATCCTCCCTCTCAGATGAGCTACAGCAGCAGCAGTAAACCAGGAGGTCCCTTGGAAAGGAGCTCACCCAGAGCCAGGACTTGTCCTTGGCTGCAACCAGAGCCAGTGCCAACAACAATCACTCTTGCTGTTGCCCTGTAACAGATCAGGAATAGTCTGTGGCTCCAAGGATAAGCATGGCACTCAAGAGAAATTAAACTTCTGCTGGGAGTACAAGTGTGTCTGCCACAGCAGAACCCACAGGATGGCAACCGGAGCCTGAGGAACAGCCCATTGGGCAGCCCCAGTTCACACGGGCAGCAGGAGCGTGACCAGAATGGATGTGGGAATATGGAGAAAACAGGAGTTACTGAGGAGAAGAAAACAAACAGCACTTGTTTTGGTATTTCCAAGACAGATAGGGAGGGACTTTTTCCACATTGTGACAGAACAAGGGGAATGGCTTCAAACTGAGAGTACATTTAAATTATATATCAGAAAAAATTTCTTCCCTGTGAGGGGGGTAAGGCCCTGGCACAGGCTACCCAGAGAAGCTGTGGCTGCCCCATTCCTGGAAGTGTTCAAGGCCAG